GTGTGTGTGTGTGTGTGTGTGTGTGTGTGTGTGTGTGTGTGTGTGTGTGTGTGTGTGTGTTGCAATAATCCCACACATCCGTCCAACTGGTCAGTGGCGTGTTAATCTGAACCCCGTTGCTCTTGCTCTTCTCCGAGGTACCAAAGGTGACAGAATCCCCTCGTCTCTCTGCCTACACCGACATGTTTTAAAGTGCCTTCATTTGTTTAAGCACTGCATGTTCCATGCAATAAATGCAGCCCGACAGCCTAATTTCTGTGTCATAGTTTGTGCAGAAGAAATCACCCTCGACGAACTCCTGACCCAGCCAGGATGTGTGAGCACACGTGTAAAGTTTATTATTCTTCCAGATGCAGACAGAGGCGTGAAGTTTATTTGACTTGAAAGGTGAGAGGTTTCTCTTTGGTTTGTTTTGCCACAGATATCAATTCACAGGAAAAGTGAGTGGCAAAGAAAACAAGGAAGTGAGCTCGTTGGGTGGAGGTAACAGCTGAAACACACACAGACACACACACAGACACACACCGAGGCCAAGGGAAGGACAGAGTGTCATACAGGGGCCAACGCTTTATCAGATATATAAAGGCTGCTGTTATGACAAACATGTACTGTGACAAATACAGATAATTATTACAGGAATATTAATTCTTAATTACAACAGACGCACTATTAACCTCAAATAATTATGTGTAGCACATATCATTTTGTATCATTGTTACTGTAAAAATTATTATAATTATTAGAATAAGTATTTTTAAGTAAATCTATGTAAGTGGAGCAAATAAGGCATGCAATATTTTTTAAAACTACCAGTAGTTGGAACTTCAATTAAGGACTCTATATACAGTATTAATTAGATAAACAGATGATAGTTAGAGAACGTTTAAGTATGTTGTCATGTTACATATTTGCCCACTTATTATCATAGCAAAATAAATAAAACAATTAGCATTAATATGTATGAATATATTGGCAAATTAAAACCATCTTTTATTTGTATTCGCTTTACATTTGATTTTTTATGTTTATATTAAGTACATAAAGTTATCTTATGGCAAAATATTTCATCCCATTAATGTAAGTTTCTAGATTGTTTTGTTTTCCTTATGTCTGCAGTATTTTATAACTGAATTAGGTTTTATTGTATAAATATTATACTTGAAGCTTTGCCACACAGTGGAACATCTGTCTATCACACACTGAATGTGAGGGCAATACTCTTCCAAATTGTCTGTACTTCCTTTTTAAGGTCACTTCTGATGCACCCAGACAGTCGGAGGACTATTGTCTCGCAGTGAGCCCCC